AAAAGAATTAAATCCTATAATTCACAGCAACATGGATGAGTCTAAAGGACATTATGTTAAGTGAAATAAGTCAGGCACAGAAAGATAAATATTACATGTTTTCACTCATATGCAAAAGCTAAAAAAATTGAGCTCATAGAAGTAGAGAGTAGACCGATTATTAGACGTTGGGAAGGGTAGGAGAGAGGAGGGGATAGGGAGAGATAAGTTAATAGATACAAAATTACAGATAGATGGGAGGAACAAATTCTAGTGTTCTATAGCACTGTAGAACGAATATAGTTACCAATAATTTATTGTATATTTTCAAAAAGCTGGAAAAGAGGATTTTGAATGTTCCCACCCTAAAGAAGTGATAAATATTTGAGATGATGGATAGGCTAACTACCCTGATTTGATCATTACAGATTGTATACATGTACTGAAATATGACTCTGTACTCCATAAATATATACAATTATGTGTCAACTAAAAATAAAAGAAAAAAGTGAAAAAACAGAATCACCTTTTATATTGCCTTCATTGAGTATGCTAATATAATCCACATTGTTTTAAAAATGCATATAAAGCTTGTCCTGTTTTTTGGTCTGAAATGTCCCAGTTTCAATCTCAAGAGCCCCAATAAAATTTTCAGGTCACCTAGAATGTCTGATTCAGGAAGGTTTAAACACTAACTCTGAGTACATAGTAAAAATAGTATTTAAAGTTGTGTTTTAAACATCTGTAAGACCATCCTGGACAGGCTTTTCATATGCTTTCAACACTTACCGTATTAATGATAGAATATATACCTTGCCTACTCCAGCATAATTTATATCCCCATTTTACACCTTTACATGTATCTACTACTTGAACTTGAATGTGTGAATAGAGATGATATATCCCTGGGTAATCAAAATTAATTTCTGCATTACATTTGAACATGAATGTTTAAACATATCTTGCAGAAAATGAAGCACAGTAATGAATTTGCATTAAAATCTAAAGAACATTCTGAATTATACCAAAATCCTTTTTTTAAAAAAAATCTCTCATTTTAGAAATGAGATCTTTCTTCATTGCCACTCAATACCAAAAGTAAGCAGAGCATCACTCCTTGAAATTTTCTGTGGAGCAAGAAACTAGCTGAGTTTAGCATTTCCAAAGGCTCCTTTGTTACACAAAATAACTTGAGTGTCCATTTATTAAGCTCCCACTATATGCCAGATGGTGGGCTAAATCAGTTTCAAATATTTACAACAGTTCAACAATAATCTAAAAATGGTAGGGATCCACTTTTACAGAAAAAGAAAAATAATATCAGAGATATGAAGTAATTTGGCCAAGTTTATACTGTTTGTTGAAAAGCAAAGCCAGGATGATGAACTTGGATCTACTTCATGTCAAAGCCCACTACACTGTTTTGTCATAAATTATGAAAGTTAATTATATGAAATGTCAACTAAGAAGGTAAATGAAGTACTATTCATATACATGAATGTAATTAAGTAAAATATAATATATATAATCAATAAAACTGCAAGCTAAATTTCCTTGAATAAATCCTTAATGAAACTAAAAGTTACTTCTGGGCTATTCATTTTAACAAAATTTTGTAATCTTTCTAAACAGTATTTACAAATTTGTGCTCTAAGCATTTAAAACACAAATCCCAGATCAATAAGTCCTAAAAACTCTTATTTTCTCAAGTATTTACCTTGAGCAATTAACAACTTGATTAAGATAAAATAGATAAAATGGTTAAATTACATTTGAGCAGGAATATATTTAAAAAGGGCTATATACTCAATATGCTCATTTATATCTTTATTTTAAGATGCAGATTTAGAGGATGTTTCATAAATTGTTTACTTTTATTTTCTATATTTAAAATATTATAAAGGTAACACAAGTGAATAGAAAGCACATACACATAATTTAAAGGAGGCTGTCCATCAAAAATAAACATTTTTAATACTGATCTTCAAAGAATATTTTTCCATTTAATTGAATAAAGGTTTAGAAAATAAAATACATCTGACAGGTAAATATGGAACAAAGTAAAACAAAAGAACTGACGGAAAGTCAGAATAACAACTTAAGTAAAGACATTTATTACAGGAAAGACCAAAGCAACAGCACTAATTGTTTCTGCATAATTCAGATTGGATTATTGTAAATATTCTTACTTATAGTTTTTTGTAAAATGTTTTTAACACTATTCAGACAACCAGTGATAACCAATAACATGGAAAATGGATCTAAGAAGGTTAGAAATGAACAGACCCATAAACAAGCAGAAAAAGATTTTTAATAAATACAGTTTAGAGAGGACCAGTTCAGGTAAAAAGCATATCGTCAAAACTTGAGTATTAAGAAGACTCTGTATTTAACATTTCAAAATCTGATTTAAAATGTTCTTCAACATGTTTGAATTTTTCCCTCAGCACCTAATTCAGATTTCACCGTAAATGCAGCTCATGAAAACTAACACCAAACGGAGAAAAAAATCTCTGACATTTATTTTTCAAAACAAAGTTCCTGTTTCACTTCCTTTTACCAAGTCTCTTTATTCCTTACCCATTTTTTGTAAATAATATTACTTTCATCTTTGTTTTTCACTTTACATTCATCAGCTATTTTTATTTTATTTTACTTTTTAAACTTTTATTTTAGGTTCAGGGGTACATGTGCAGGTTTGTTATATAAGTAAATTGGGTATCATGGGGTTTGCTGTATAGATTTCATCACCTACGTAATGAGCGTAGTACCCGAAAGGTAGTTTTTCAATCCTCACCCTCCTCCCACCCTCCACCCTTGAGTAGACCCCAGTACCTGTTGTTCCCTTGTGTCCATGTGTACTCAATGTTTAGCTCCCACTTACAAGTGAGAAGATAATGGTATTTGGTTTTCTGTCCCTGTGTTAAGTTTGCTTAGGATAATGACCTCCAGCTCCATCCGTGTTGCTGCAAAGGACATGATCTCATTCTTTTTCAGGGCTGCACAGTATTCCATGGTGTATATATACATTGTCTTTATCTAGTCTACTATTGATGGTCATTTAGGTTGATTCCAAGTCTTAACTATTTTAAAATAAATCTCATTTGATTCTTACAAAAACTTTGAGGTAGATGTGATTACTTTTGTTTACAGAGGGTGAAAGCAATGACACAGTTTGTCCAATGTGGAATCATCATGAAACAACAGGGCTGAGTCTCAAATCCTCCAAGATTACCACCATGACCTACGTATTTTAAACTTCAACAAAGTTTCATCTTGCAAACCAACACTTTTGTGCTTATTTCTTAACTAGTGACAATCTAATTCACCATTTTTGTGTTTGAAGTAGAGAACATAAAAATGGTACAGTAGAATAATTTTAGGTTAAGTTGATATCCATTAAGGAAGGCATCACGGCAATTATTTCAATGCTGACAAGTAGCGTGTGGGTACCTGTCTCATTGTTCTGATTCAGTTGCTGACAGTGTTCTAAATGAAGCTTCAGTTCTTTGTGAGAATTCTATTTAAGATTTTAAAACCAGTTTCTCTTTTTTTTTCAAAAGTGTCGTTATAACCAATCTTATGTGACGAAAGTGTTGGGGAGGGGAGGAGAAATCTCTTTAAATGGCTTCAAATACAATGATCGAAACCCATCACAACTGGGAATAAGTAAAATAAATATAGTAGATTAAACAAATTCCTGCAAATGGAGGTTTTCAAAAGAAACTGACATTAACTTTCTCCAATTTTAGTATTATTTTAAATATAAGTGGCTAATATCAAGCAGCACTTTCTTTTTACTTCATAGTACCACCACTTTGTGTTAGAAAGGGGAAAAAAGCCATTGGTGACAGTTTATTTTTAGATATTGATTATCTCATCTTGCTGCAAAGGGAATAAAAATAATTAAAGCTGAGTGAAAAATAATTTGAAGCACAGCATATTTCAAAGCATAACCATCATCATAACTGTTCAGATGAGATTTCTTGAAAGCCTGGTAATAAATGCATGCCCTAGATATTTTTTAAAGTCTACACCTTGCTTATTCAAATTGGCCTCTTTTACTGGCAGCTTAAGTTTAATTCCTGTCTTCAGACACTTCATACAATTCCAATCAAATGCAGTGATTAGTATGTATATAATGGCTGAATTAGATGATTAGATGAACATTAACTGTTTGTAAGCTAGGTAATTTATTTTAAAGTAAAATTTAAGTATTCGTCTAAGCTGTGTTCCTTTGGCAAACTTAAAGAGGTATTTCTTCAATGTACCTAACACTCTTTTTTGTTTTTTTGGTAACTCAAATTCATTTTAGAAAATAAAAATTCATTTGGAAAATATAGAAAAGTAGAGTCTAAATAAAATCACCCATAGCTTCGCCATAAAGTAATAAACACTTAACTATTTTATTTCATTATTTTACCTATTAATCCTTATTCTTCTTGCTACTACAGGTAGCAAGAGACCACAGAGCCCAGAAAAACTTGCTACTGAAAAGAGATATCATCACATCACAGTAGAAAAAGAACAGATTATTTAAGAGATAATTTACAACCACTGATATATCATGCCTATAATTACATTTCCTCTAAAAGATATGTTTGGATATGTTCTAGTCAATTCACCCAAGTCTCTTCCATTTCTCCTTGCCTTATACCAGACTTAATTCAAACGTTTATATTAGCTGCTGGACCCTGAAGGCATCTGGTGTGGGGATCCCTGGCTTAGATAATATTCGAAGTGGAAAATCAGTTCAGGTAATTAGATCATTGTTAAAAGCTATTAGACACATTTGTTTGTATGTGTACAGGTCAGGTTCCTTTTATATCTTCTGGTAAGTTAACTGAGCTATATGCATAGTTTCCCAATAAATAATTACACATTTCATTTCTTTAGAACGATTTGTCTTTGAGAAACTTCTAAACCAGTATCTTACAAACTCTTGGTACATAGGATACTTCCCATTGTTGGAATATGAAGTTGCTAATAAATTAACAGAAGGAAAGTTTGTCAGCTAATACCTGTTGCACAATTGTTGTTAACTCCAGGCAGAGTTGTATGACATTATTTCTTGTAACTGAATAGTCTGTCACAGCAGCAAATGGTGACCTATAAAGGGAAAAGGAAAATTGTGATTACTAGTAACAGCTTTTGAAAAGTCCCAAAATATAGTAGCCTAAAATGAGTTTTTCAATAATATGAAATAAGTTGTTCTGAAATTTGCATACTGACAAAAATATTCAGGACTTATTTCAAGGAAAGTTTTCAAAGAAATGATTGGAAAAGCATTAAATTCAGGAAATATAATGTTTGCTTTCTACCAAATTTCTCTCTTTTTAAAGTTCTTAATTATTTAGAAGTTCTTTGGTTCTTACAAGGTATTTTCATTATATCTAAAACAAAAAAGGAATACTTTAGGCAAAGATAACATGTTAGTTTATTTTCAAAAGAACCCAAGATTCTGAGTACAGTATCTATTTAGAATATTCACAATTAAGAGCTAGTAATAACAACTGCTAAGGTTCACTGAGGGCTCACTATGTGCCAGTTACTATTCTAAATGCTTTACATGTATTAGATAATTTAATCTTCACAACCATTATGAGATAGGCACTATTATTATTCTCATTTTACAGATGAGAAACATAAGGTAAAGAAAGATTAAGTGACTTATCGAAGGTCACACAACTAGTAAGTGGTGGACCTGTATACTTCATACTTGATATATTTTCAAGTGTTTGAAGCAGCTCATTTAGTCATGTGTATAATTCTTTTTACACATGGTTATATTTAGTTTGGTAATATTTTGTTGAGGGTTTTAACCTCTAAGTTCCTGCAAAATATTGGTCTGCAGTTGTTTTTTGTTTTTTGGGGGGTTTTTGTATCAGGATAATGATTGCCTCAAAAACTGATATAGGAAAAGTTCCCGCCTTTATTTTCTGGAAGAGATGGTGTAGAAATGGTGTTATTTCTTCTTTAAATGTATAAAATTCACCAATGAAATCATTTGAGCCTGCAGCTTTTCTCCACACCCTGAGGCGTTTCTAGGTAATATTCTCTTTCTTCAATAGTTATAGGATTATTCAGAGTATCTATTTCATCTTGGGTTATGTTTTAGTACTATTTTTCAAGGAATTGGTCTATTTCATCTGAGCTACCAAATTTATGTCTGAAGTTATTTGTAATATTCCTTCATTAACCTTTACATTTTGATTGACTTCTCTGTTGTTTGTTTTCAATTTCACTAATTTCTGCTCTTATCCTTAAGAGGATCTTATTGCTCCGTGCTTATTTTGTTCTTATTTTTCTATTTTCTTGAGATGGGAACTTAAATGATTGATTTGAGATCTTTCTTTTTTTCTGATATAAAGCATTCAGTGCTTCTGATATATTTACTACATATATTCCTGATATATTTTGAATATATATATTTCTGATATATATAAGCATTCAGTGCTATACACTTCCTTTTCAGCACTGCTTTAGCTGTGTGCCGCAAATTATGATTTGGTCTTTTTTCATTCTGTTCAATGTATTACTTTTTATTTTCCATGAGACTTGACTGTTGGATTACTTATAAGTGTGCTGTATGAGTTACTAGTTTCATTTTATCATCTGATTTCAATTCTTTTAAACTTGCTGAATTTTGTTTTATGATACAGATACAGTCTATCTTGGTGAATATTCAATGGGTACTTGAAAAAAATTTTTGTTCTCCTGTTGTTGGATGAAGTGCTCTAAAAATGTCAACTTTTTTGTTGTTAGGTGGTGGTGCTCAGCTTTTCTAATCTTACTGACTTTCTGTTTAATTTTATCTATTCTTGAGAAAGAGGAAATGAAATCTACAACTGTGGATTTGTCTATTTACTCTTTCATTCTGTTTTTGCTTCATGCACTTTAAAGCTCTGTTGTTTGATATATACATCTTACCAGTGATTTCTGTTTCCTCTTTTTTGATTTACCTACTTATATGCGCCTCTGTTACATTTTGGTGGGTTTTGTTTTTTATCAATATGAATATTCACATATGTTCATATATGAATATTACACATTACACATTAACCCTCTGCTTTTCATGTTTGTTGCAAATATTTTTCCCAGCTTGTCATCTTATACTTTGTTACATTTTTCATTTTTATGTAGTCAACAGTACATTCCTTTGTATTTTATTCCATTTTAAAAATACTTAGAAAGTCTTTTCACATCTAGAAATCATTTTTTTGCCTATATTTTTTCTAGTTTTCTTGTAAATTTATATTTTCTTCTTAGATATCTGATATATCTAAAATTTATTTTAGTGAAGAAAAATAGTGCTCTATCATTATCTATTTTCTAAAGGCTTAACCAAGTGCCCCACTACAATTTACTAAATGGCCCTTTCTTTTTCTGGTGGTTTTAACATATTGTTTTGTAAATGATTTTATATACGGTCATGTGCTGCAAAAAATGACGTTTTGGTCAACAACAGACCACATACACCACAGTGGTCCCATAAGATTATAATGCTTTATTCTTACTGTACCTTTTCTGGGTTTAGATATGGAATAAATCCTTACCATCGTGTTACAATTGCCTATAGTATTCACTACAGTCACATGCTGTACAGTTTGTAGCCTAGGAGCAACAGGCTATATATACCATACAGCTTAGGTGTGTAGTAGGCTGTACCATCTAGGTTATGTAAGCATACTCTATGATGTTTGCACAACAAAATTGCCAATTCTTATCATTAGCAATGCATGACTATACCACAGTGTATTATAGGCTCTCTTTCATGAACTTATCTATTCCTACTCCAAAACCCAGTATATTTTTTCAAGATAATTTACTTAAATAAAAGGAGACATAAGAATTTTAAAAACTGAATTAGAAAAAAATGTGATTAATCAAAATTCTCAGTAAAAAAATTAACCTCTTTAATTGTAAGCAGAAACCAACTTTTAAAAATCCATCCTAATGGAAGATTTCTAAGACTGGATTGTAAAGGTGGTTGTATAGGTGTTATCAAAATTTACTAAAACTCATCAAACGGTATACTTAAAATAGGTTAATTTATAGAAAATAAACTAGGCCTCAACAAAAATATTTTTTTTTCGACAGGTAAAGAATTTATTTTTATAATTCAAAAGTTCTTTTAAGGAGAACTAAAGAACACAAAATTCATTCATAAAGAGAATTTATAGAATTAAATGAGCAAAAATGAAAAATTATTTTATCCATATTACAAATGCCTCTATAGGATAAGACCCAGGGGAAAGACCCATTCAAATCTGGGCTTTCCTTTCCCAAATAAAGTGTTTGGCACAACCAACAAGCTGTCATGAGACTGACAGGCCTGACAGTTGAAAGGTTTCTAGAAGTAGCCCCATGACTTTTCTGTGGAGCTTCAACATAGTGTACACAAGAGGTGTCTTAACAAGCTGCACAAACTCAGGCTGAACTACGCAGCACACTGTTCCAGAAAAGTTAAACTGAAGGGAAAAAAAAGGTCCACATGAAGTAGGTCTCCTATTGCCACAGGTTAACTCTGTCGTTTCTCATGGAAAATTAAATTCACTGGCTGCCCAGGACATCAGTGAAATCCTGATCTCCTGGGGGAGGTGAGAGCTGGAGAAACAACTTGAATTTAAGCATCTCTGGGCCAGGTGGGAAGGAGACAATGATGACCAAGGATGCTTTCTAGGTGACTTAATAAAAATATTTTTTAATGAAAAATATAAGCACTTCTAGGAGAATATCATTATTTTTAAAAATTACTTTGGGAGGCCGAGGCAGGTGGATCATGAGATCAGGAGTTCAAGACCAGCCTGGCCAAGATGGTGAAACTCCATCTCTTCTAAAAGTGCAAAAATTAGCTGGGCGTGGTGACGGGTGTCTATAATCCTAGCTACTCGTGAGACTGAGGCAGAAGAATTGCTTGAACCTGGGCAGCAGAGGTTGCAGTGAGCTGAGATCATGCCACTGCACTCCAGGCTGGGCGACGGAGTAAGACTCTGTCTCAAAAAAAAAAAAAAAAAAAAAAAAAAAATTACACAGAGACCATTTTTGCTGCATTGAAGCATAAAAACTCGCATTTTAAACTAAGAATTCAAAAATGCTTCTGGCATGATTAGAAAAGAGTTTCGATTCCTAGGTTTGAAAAGGTCAGAGTCTGTTTATAAAATCTTAAAATTTCATTAAGAAGTGATGAGGTGATACACAGAATGTTTGTTTCATTTTGTTTTACCATAACTACTTAAAAGAATCTCACTTGATTTTCAAATACAGAAAAGAAAAACCCTATTTGATCACTAAATGCTTATAGCAAACTGAATTCCAAGGCATGTTTTCCACTTTCCTGACCATTCATATTTTAAGTAGGACAAGCTTCTCACTCAAGATTAAATTTCAAGAAAAAATGAAAAGAAAAATCTAAACACATACTAAGGAAAACAGATTTTATTTTATAGTGATTTAGAATTATCCTAAAGTTTTTATCTTAGAGGCAAATCACATACAACTGTACTAACAGCCATTCTTAGCCAGCAGATTTTAAGGTTTGGTATGATGATTTGGGCTGCATCTACATACAAATAAGGGTAAAAGGTCAGGTGGCGTTCCAGTCTTTGTGGGTTACCAAAGATTATCCCTCAGTCATGGCTTAATGATCATCTATGAGAGTAAAAACAATAGATCTCTGTAGAATAACTGAACATGATCCGCATGCATGCACACACACACATATACAAAAACAAAAACAAAATCAAAAACAAAAATAAAGAAACTGTTCTTAAGTCTGAAGAAACCCTCAAGTAGAGTTCAGGGTACTTACAAGAAGAACACAATAACTCTAATTAAAGGAAATTAAATTCATAGCAAGAAAGCTTTTCGATGCCAGAAAGAGAAAAAAAGATAAAATCCTTGGATCATTGCTAAGTGGTTGTTACAGGAATTATCCTATTTAGATCTTAAAAATTAAGCAACTGTACTCCTTAAATCATCATATAGATAATACGATGCTTATATTTCTCTCTGGTGCAAAAGTTTATGACCCTATAAGAAATTATTCTTTGTACATGATAGCTAAACAAAAGCATTACATTTATAAAAAGGTTATTAACGGTTCAGAAATCCTAAACAAATTAGAAACTAATAAGGAAAGCTAAGAGGTTAATAAGGAAAATCTGGAATGCCTTACTATTTCTCAGGTTGGCACTGCTGAAACCTTAGGGTAGTCCATGAATAATAGTAGTGCTAATGTCACTGCTCTTCCCTGGAATAATTAGTGCCAAGTGAGAAGCAATGAGCACATGAGAGAAAATAAGACCAAACAATGAATCACATTATCTGGTAGTGTTTAATGTAGTTTTCTTGGTCTCTGTAATATTTTTCCTGGTATAAAATTAATTTGTCCTATAGTTTCTTATCATGAAAGAAGAAATTAGTTTAACAATTTTCTTACATAAGACAAAAAATTTCAAAGAAATCTTAACAAAAATTTCCTAGTACCTTAAACTCTTATGCCTTCAATATGTAAAAGGTTTTCAAAGATATAAAGAGATCTCATTGATCCCATCAAAACAGGATGGCCTTAAAAAGGTATTTTATAAACTATCAGAATGGGGTATTACTGGTAAAAATGAAGGAAAAAAAAACTTTTACTATGGAAGGCAAAATAAACTTTGTTTAATAATAATTTTGAACATTATTACTAATGTTACTGTACAACGTAACACTTGTAGTGATCTGTAAACTTCTGAGTATAGATCGATTTGGCAAAGCCACAGAAAACTGCAAGAAATATAAGGTGTCAAAAACAGTAGGATGTAGGTTAAAAATAGACAAGTAAATCATGCATTGAAAATAAACAGTAAAGCTACCAACTGTAATTCACCTCTGAGACTATTCCTCTGGGAAAGTCTGGTGTTTCACTGAAATCAATATTTTAAATAGGAGAAAAAAACGGAATTGTGTTAACCTTAGATTTTATCTTATTTAGGAAATGTAAGGAGCTGGTCTTTGAAAGTATATCTCACTTAAATGGAAGCTCCATTGATATTATTTTCCTAGCACACTATTATGCCTTAAAGACTTAAAGGTTTTTCAATGATATAAAAAAAAAATCTCATTGATCCCTTTAAAACAGAATAATCTTGAAAGGTATTTTAGAAACAATTAGAATTAAATACTAATGTTAAAAATGAGATAAAACAGTAAACTTTTACCATAAACAGCGAAATAAACCTTTTCTATTAATGAAGTTCTATGTAGCAATTTCAGATACTGAGGCCCAAAACAGAAAAGTGGTAGTCTTATTTAGCTTTTGAAGATAAATAGCAAAATGTAAATAAAGGTTTATATGCCACATCCCTTCCTCAAAATCCTCAAGAATTAGTCAGCATTCAAAACAAGGTGTAGCATGACAAAGGAACATGAACGAAAAAATAACAGGACTTCAGTGTCAGACAAAAATTGATTCAAAGTATAACTTTCATACTAGATGAATGACTTTAGGCAAGTTATTTCACATTTCATATGTAAAATGGAGATAACGATATCTGCTTTGTGAGAATTCAATGAGCCGAGAGTATATATGTATTTATAAAGCATCTAGTTCAGCATCTAGAATAAAATTAAATTTTTTTTTACCTATTTTTTATTTTTCTTTCTCCTCTTTCAAGTGACATAAAATAAAAACTGTAATAAACCCAAATTATATTGCTGTGGATGCACATTTTCTCCAAAATGTAATAAAAATTTTGTAATGCCATAAAACTTATAGCTGTTTAAAAATGAAAACAGCTGCTTAACATGAAATTAATCCTATTTAACGGGCAAAACTTTTATTCTTCAACTAAAGTACTGTATATCAAAGGAATAAACTAAAGTTAAAGATCAAATGCTTGGCAGTATTCATTTGCAGGGTTCATTTTAAATCCCCCAAATTAAAGCAAATCTGCACTGACACACTGTGTGTGTGTTTATGTGTTTTTGTAGGTGTGTATGCACATATGTGTTTTGTAGGTGATTTGGCACTTACCAAAAGCATTTTATTACATAATGAAAGTAATCCAACCATAAAAAAATTGGTACAATAAAATCTCAAGGACTACTATAGTGTGGGAAATGTGCGATTTTATAAATAGCCATATCTGTCATCAAGAAGTAAAAACATTCTCTATTCACTCTAACAATTTATCCATCTAACAAATACTAGGGTAAAAAATATATAAATGAATTTACTAAATGAAAATATCAAGGCTGGGCAAATTTATAATTATACGGAAAATGAGAGTAAAAGAAGATATAATTATAATCAAGGATGTGTTCTTTAAGCCTTCTGATTACTGTGAAGCCTACCAAAACAAACATATTAATAGTACTTAAGGACTAAGCCATATTTTACTTACTGACCATTCATAACTTTTGGAATGTATATATTTAAAATTCAATTAATTTAAACACTTGATAATGTGGTTTAGACAATTATGAATATTACATTTTAATAATGTTATAATGCAAAAGAAACATGCAGTCCATTAATTATCAAAAAGCTAGTAATATATAGTTTAGTGTTTCATATTTGGATTTAGTATCATCACTTTATATTATGTATAAGTATATATAAAATTAAGGAAAATTATCTCAATTTTCACCTTAAAAATACAAAAGCTTTACTTTTAATATAAGGCCTCATGTTTCTAAAATGCCAAAATGTAATACTGGCGTGTGTATGTGTGTGTGTGTGTGTGTGTGTGTGTGTGTAGGAACACATATGGATATCCTACTGACATTTATTCAAGAAAGAATTCTGATAATGTATATTATCAGAGTTTCTTATGAGAGACAAAGAGCATTTTTTAAATTTGATTATTTAGCCATTAAACATAGTACATACCCCTTACCAAAAATTCCAAAACTGAAAGAAGAGAAATTTAGTTTTTTAATAAACAGTTGCAATGTGTCTTAACATTATAATGTTTAACCACATACAGTATATAATGTAAATCTAACCTTTCCATTTCATCTTACAAGACTTTTATACTATTTTACATGTTCCAAAACAAATGAAAGTCACCTAAACTTAAAAAAGTCTAAAAGTGTGTTTATGATATCCAAAATAGTACAATGTAATTAATAACAGAGAACGAATGAAGTGAGGCCAAGGAGACACACAAGGCATGCTAGGAAGGTGTCAGTGTCTAATTACCTATTTAAAAGAGTTTATAGCATCCCCATGGTCATTTCCTTAAGTAAAACCAATTAATATGAATAAAGAACATCAGGATACAAAGCAGTAGTATAATAAACAAAAATTTATAAATTTTATTATGACAGCCAAATAATGATTTTGCTTATAAAGCAGCAAGGTATTTTACAGTTGTCGGACTAATTATTGATTGGCTACTTAGTTGGATATCAAATTTTATAAAGGATTAATATCTGTTTGATACCCCTATATTGTGGGGTATTAAATCTAAATGTCTGAATCATCATTAGACATTTATTAATTGGTACTCCTCTGCCTGTCCAATCCTTTCACAAGAAAATGCAAAATAATGTTATATTCAAACTGGTGTCTGAGGAGAGGACACTTATGAAACACGTGGAAGACTTTACCTGTCCAACCATGCAAGCAGACTCTTGGCTGCTCCAATCAGATCCACAACTGAGGTCAGAAAGTCGTTTGGCAATTTTCGGCTGGTCCTCCCATCATAATGGCCACTCCTTCTCCTTCCTGTTATAAAATTCTGTAGATTTTTGGCAGATGCATTCAACTTGTGAGAAAGGGTTTTTAGATTTTCTGTTTCCAAGCCATAATTCTGAATTATAAAAAAGAGAGAGAATATACTTAAAGTCAATTTTATTCATTCGTGAAAATATTTACTGAATACTTTATTATGCACAGGCAATGGGGTAGCATTAGAGTTACAAATGAATTAGATAGGATTCCTGACCTAGTGGAGCCCACAGTTAAGTGACTATTTGGGGAGATGTCATATAAAGAAATTATAATAAAATGTGTTAAGTACTAACATGAATAAAGAAAGATAAGGGCATTGTATCTTAGAACTATGCTACTCAAGATAGCAAGATTGTAAGAAATAATAAATTTGTTTTTTAAAACGAAAACCTAAGTTTATTTACTTGTGAAATTAATTATTATCAACAATTATTTTTGAGTATATATTCAATTAACAATACGCATGGTTAGGAATGTAGGTACTAGGAATAATTCTGCTTCCCCAAAGTTAGGAAAATAAACACAACCAACAATAACAAAATGAAAAAGCAAGAAATAAATCAGGTAAATAAATCAGATTAAAAAATACACGTACTCTACATAATGATGCATAAAAAGTTTCTTTTATAATATGACATCAGGAAAAACTCTGCTTCCTCAGGGGAACTAACACACATTCTCCTTTTTGTAATACAAATTATGAAACTAAAATTATTTTTGTTTTTGTCCTGGCTATATTAGCTCACAACTAAACATGAAGCACACCAAAAGCAATCATAGTGACTTTTTGGTAAGTGTATTTGTTTTCTTCTTTTCTTTGTTCTCACATTTCAACTAATATTTGTTAATTCATCCTAAATATCTTGTCTATTATATCTTATTGCAGAAAGGGGTTATATGAATAAGTATAATAAGCCTTTTTACTATCTTCAAATAGAAAAAGATTGTAGGATCCCTTCAAACTTTGGGGAAAGTTTTCATAAGTTACAATTAAAATGTAAAGCAGCTAACTGTGAGTTGCAAAACACCCCTTAAAAAGGCTGGTTAATATTATCCAAGGATAATCTTGATTAAATCACTTAGCAGCATGTACATTACAGTTGTGTGTAAAGTTAAAATTATTATCACCTTACTGAAAATGGCAAAACCCAAAGAATGTAAGAATTTGCTTGGGCCTGGGAGGCTAAGTTTGACTTAACCTTTTCATAGTTGGGGAAACTGAGGTATGGGAAGATTTCTTTTTTTTTTCTTTTTTTTTTTTTTTTGCTTAAAAAACTCAGTACTTAAACTAGACAGAGTTCAGAATGGAACTACAGGTCACCAGGACATCTGTGAGTGGATATGTCTACCACATTCCTTAGCATCAATATTCTACTCCTACTCTCAGAAACATGGTAACAATAATTAAATCAAAGTGTAAGATGAAGAGTGAAAAAGGAAATTAAGTCATACAATAAATTAAGCTATATTATTAAGTCAACAACCACTGGGTACCTACTTTGTACAACATTTAGGTGTCTTTTTTCCTATGGCAATTTAAGACAAGAGAAAACTTAGTGGAGACAAAATGAGGGGAGAGGAAGGTTCTGATGTCTAAACATTAAATACCAAGTTATGTATGTTACCACTACAGATTTAATGGTGATAAAAGTCTGCTTGTCTTTTGCTTAGAATTTACATATTAAAAGAACACTTTCTTCTAAAGTTATAAATTTTTCTAAAATAACATAGTATTAATATGTTAAATATTCACTGCTTAATTTGAACTGTAATATTCTTCTCTCAAGTTAAAAGATTTGGCTTGTGCAAATAAAACAACATTCTATTCAAATTATATTGCATCTGAGAATGAATTATTTGTGAAATGTGGGAGAGTTTGTTCAGCTGGTCACTATAGAATGAAAGAAATCCTCTCATGTTTATAAAAGATGCTCTCTAATGACTAGATAAGAACAATTTATAACTATACAAACTAACTGTAAATGATACTTCTTCTGTAAATGTAATTGTAAATGAAAATACTGAAAAGTATTTTTAGAAGTTTTCCCTGTGTTAAAGCATTTTTCTAAAGTAAAAAATGATGGCATTTTTCATTTTTGTGTATAAATGATTTTAATAAGAAAACATTTGTCTGCCAACAAAATATAGTAATCTCTTAGAGAAGTTCAAATTATAACAATTAGAGAGAAGCCTACTCAATCAACCTGGTAACTGATATTTCACTCTGTAGCCATTAGCTTTCATAAAAGATTATTTTAAATTATTTCTCTCTATATAACACTAGCATCTCAAATGATTTATTAGGAAAGGTAAAATAATATTAGTCTTCTTATAAATAAAAATCCAAAGGCAAAGTAAAAATATTTCAGAGTCTCCAAAATTTAAGAAACTAAAATTATTATTTTTCATATGACTCAATAATTAGGGAATATAATAATCATCCAGACAAAACCTGGAAGGATACTCTCAGAAGGTCTAACTTGGAAACCTCCTAAAAATACATTATGCAGAATAGAGGTGAAAAATGTGGAGGACAGAGAAATGTAGAGGCAAAAAGAATCTTTAAAAGATATGTAGCAGAGGATGGGGAACGAAATTCTTAAAACTTGTTCTAGTCTACACTAATAATCCAAAAACATGTTTAAAAAATTTAGAAGAGTATAATAGGTTAGAAGCTCATCTGTATGTAAACAGATTTATGTGCTACTATTTTAACAAAAAAGATTAACTGATCTCTGAAGTTAATTTTTTAATTTTTAAAATTTATTTTATTTTATTTTTTGATACAAGGTCTCGCTCTGTCACTCAGGCTGGAGTGCAGTGGCATTATCACAGCTCACTGCAGCCTAAACTTCCTGAGCTCAAGCGATCCTTCTACCTCAGCCTTCTGAGTACCTGGTACTACAGGTGTATGCCAGTACTTTAAATTTTTTGTAGAGATGTGGTCTTGCTACATTGCCCAGGCTGGTCTTGAAATCCTAGACTCAAGTGATCTGCCCTCCTCAGGATTCCAAAGTGCTGGGATTCCAGGCATGCCACCATGCCCAGCCTCAAGTTAATTTTTATCATTACAATTCTCAATTACTACCAATACAGATACCTTCTGGCTATTTCTTTCATGTAAGTGGATGGTTTGTTGTGACTTGGTAAGTCACCAGTACATCACACACTCTTACCTACCATTTAAAGAATCGACAAGTAAATCAAGCACCTTTCGCTTTAGGCCAGGGGTACGGAGGGCACTGCATCAACTTTTTCAAAATGCAGGTTTATTCACTACAGATTTGCTTTTTATTGGATATGCATAGCAAAACTTGGTATTACTATTAGTATAAAAAGGACTACCTCAAGAAAACAAAAACTTAGACATGAAATGTACTTAGCTGCTGTGTTTGTCGTATATGTTACTTATTTGTTCATATACTTGGCCATTACCATGTGCCAGAACCAGTAGTGACTTAGAACTGATCGAACACAGCCATTTAAGTCTTAATGAATTTGTGCTAAGTTCATATCAGCCTTCTCTTTCAATCATATGCATGTAAAAGCATTTGAAAGAAATAAACATACGCATTTAACATTTTAGAAAAGTAACGTCAGCTATATCCTCACCAGTGGCAAAATTTCACTAACCACTTAACTAGAAATACTTAATATTGGCACCACATATTTTACAATGTCAATGCCATTTTATTCAGAGTTCTTTTTTTTTTTAATGGCTGCATAGTATTCCATGGTGCATATGTGCCACATTTTCTTTTTTTTTATTATTATTATCATTATACTTTAAGTTCTAGGGTACATGTGCATAATGCGCAGGTTTGTAGAGTTCTTAATTTAAATGCATCGTGTAGCAGGTTTTTTTTTTTTTTTTTTGAGACGGAGTCTCGCTCTGTCGCCCAGGCTGGAGTGCAGTGGCCGGATCTCAGCTCACTGCAAGCTCCGCCTCCCGGATTTACGCCATTCTCCTGCCTCAGCCTCCCGAGTAGCTGGGACTACAGGCGCCCGCCACCTCGCCCGGCTAGTTTTTTGTATTTTTTAGTAGAGACGGGGTTTCACCGTGTTAGCCAGGATGGTCTCGATCTCCTGACCTCGTGATCCGCCCGTCTCTGTAGCAGGTTTTTAGCTTTATAATACATTGCTTTATAAATACGAGTGAGTCTTAAAAGGCTTGCTTTAATGAATTTTTTTGGAAAATAAATTATTTTAAGATGAATGAACCAAGCAATTATGTTGCAAAGAAACAAATCCCAGCAATTGCAAACATCAAATCTTTCATGCAAAATGCCTGAAATTATAAGTACATGAAAAATGAAATGAAAACTGTTCTTATCCTGTCATAAATGATTTATTTACAGTTCCTAATAAAAAGTGTATTGTCAGAACACAAATCAAGGCCCATACATTAAGCTCTATATATATATTTTATTTATGTTTTTACTCTTTCAGTTAATAATTCTTTGCTCTCTATTGAAGCATACTAAATGATAGCTTAATAGCTTGAAATATTATTACACCTCCAAATCATGAACAGCTTACTTCTTTCTAGAATAACATGATGCAAACAATATATCTGATGCTTAATAAATATATGTTGCATGAATAAATAAGTGACTAAATAAACCTTTGATTCTCATCAGCTGCCATAAACATTTATGCACATAAGGAATAACTTCAAGACAAGGTAGATGAAAATACAGTATAGCTTAAAGAAACAAAAGGAATCTGCTAATTTTTCTATGTCTTCCTTATTTGAGGAACAGAAACCTCAAAGTCAAAGGCTGTGTAGGCAAGAGAAAAATTACGGTTCTTTGAAGAAAGACAAGAGAGTTTAATTCAGCAAGATAACATTAATTTAACATCTTTTATGAGCTTAGCACTGGGCAGAAAGCTAAATAAAAAATATGAACTAAACAAAGGTGTCTTCCTTTGAGGAGTCCAACATGAATTAAAGGATAAAAGAACCTAAGCAAAGAATTGTAATGTGATACAAGGTGTTAGGTGTTACCTTTTTTTCTCATCATTTCCCATTCTACACAAACTAAATGACAATTCTCAATTTTCTCTGAATATTCCATATTCTTTCACAATTCTGTTTTTCCACATGATATTTCTTCTGCTTAGATAACTTTTCTCCAACTTTTTGTCTGGCAAACATCTAATCATCTTGTAAGACCAAATGCATACGTTACCTACACTTTCTGAATCCCTCAGAAGAGTTCATTTCCTTCTACACTCCCCTGGAATTTTCTTTAAATCTATGTTGTCTTCTAATGACTACTGTCTTTCTTAATGGACTGTATATATTTTAGGAGTACAGACTGCGTCTTTTTCATCTTTGCATTCCCAGCGATAGCACTGTTTGAGCAGGAATATGTAATTGTTGAAAAAGAAAAGAATACAGTAGACATAAGGAAAATGTAGAATGGCCAGTGAAGATCAGAGAGACAAGACTTAGCAGGGTAAACCAAAATTCGAAGAGCAGTTGGGGACAGAGGGGAAGGAGGTAAAGATACAGTCCCAATAGTACAATTTCCTGGACTAGTCAACTCAGCTTGCTGATAAGGAATCTCACCTCCTGATTTCATAATGGTATGTAGAAGAAAATCAGAATTCACGACCCAGAAATTTGCTTTATATTCCCCAGAAAGCATCTGTTGCATAAACTGAAATGTATCTGTACTTCTGACTTGTTGATGTATATCCATTACATTAGGAAGGGGTAAGAAGGAAGTTTAACATTTGACTTCTTTGGGGACTGCAACTAAGGAACTGCTCAATAAACAGAAAAAAAAAGTTGGTGTTTAAATTTATTTTCCGCGTTAACTTCCAGAAGAGCTCAATCACATAATGAAGCATCCAAATGACATGACTTTAAACCTGGTGCTTAAACCCAGAACTGTACAGGGATTAAAGCTCAGCATCTGAAAGGATTCACCACAGCTACATGGTTCAAACTTAGAAGTGGTCTAGACATCTATTTCTGATGCCATGCTTTTAAGTAGGTTTAGGTCAGCAGAGCCTTGTTCATAGGTCAAACTTCAAATGTCTAGACTGTATGTATATAACACTGTCAACCATCAATATTCTTTCCTTTCTCAAAGTGTGAGAGCCTAGCACATGAGAGGTTCATCTATGAAGAGTCCTGTTTATGAGACATACACTCTGGACTTAAGGTTTTGATATACCCAACTCTTACTGTTATAAAAGATGTTACAAACAGGGAACGGTTATTTGGCACTAACATCATAAAAATTTAAGGAAGGAAGAAAATATCAGGTCCAGTTGGTTGAGAATCAGGGTTTTTTCCTTCTATTTGCATTTCAATTATCAAAAGAAGAGAAGAAAAAAGGGAAAAGTAACAAAAGAAGAAAAGGGAAGTTTCCCTCTTCACCAGTTTTATGTCCTTACCAATGCACACAGAAGGTCAACTGCTTCCAAGATCAGTTCCTGATGACCAATGCGGCTGACCCCCAGATCTTCTAGCTCCTGATGTGTAATGCGCAGCAGCTGGTCCCCACTGATCTTCTCCCTCTCAAAGTTCTTAATATACTGCTGCAAACAGTCATCAAGACCTACAAAATACAAGTATGAAAGACCACAATGAAAACATGGCCAAACCAAACAAACGTGAAGGGTGGGAGAAGCAAGCATTAGTGCTACCATGTCACAAATTAAGTTCATTTTAACTCTGAACTAGCCAAATCCTTCACCCTTTCTTAACCTACATATGGGCTATGGTGAAAAAGAAAATCACGTCATCATACTCATAGTTGTCAGGTACCTAGTTGAATTTTCCTCAGCACGTACTGGAAATCTTTATCTCACGTCTGTGCAGTTCTCCTTGCTGACTATTTCATAAAGTATGCCAACAGGCAGGTTCCCCTATTTTTAAATTTATGTGCATCACCTTCTTACTTTCTTATTTAAACCCCACTTCAGAGGAAGAGGTGTCTTTCCTATTTAAAGCTAATCTATCTATCTGTACTCTGTAGTCCCATCTCCTGCCACCTTAAGATGACTTCAGTAACTAAAAAATTAAATTCTCTTTGTTTCAACTATTTTCTATTAATTGACTCATTCTATGTTCAAATCTCTGCCATCTTAAAACAAAACACAAAATCCTTATTTTGATTTCACTGATCATGTGTGCTCCTCACTAGTCTGTCACCCTCTTTGGATTCAAGCCCTTACCCTTATTTCCTCACCTGTGATGCATTCCTTAATCCATTATAATTTGGATTTTACTCAAATCTAAAAGTAGAAATCAGGATTACACGGGGCAATTCATACGTGATTGGCTAGGCTATAGATTGAGTCGGTTTCAATCATCTGTGAAGTGGCTTGATACAAATGATGAACTGGACTAATAAAACTAACGCTCTAGAAATTTAAGTAAAGAATACCAAGAAAATGAGGCAATTAGCTGAAACTAAGAGGTCCTCATTATGTCAAGGAGGGAGACCAGAGGCTATAATGGGCTACATTCCAGCTGAAGTTATGGAGGAACTGAAATTATAAAAAAATAGAAAAAAACAGAGACGAAATTAGAAAAGATGTACAAAAGGAAGTCAAGTTTCCAAACAGAGAGATTATGCAGCCATTGAGAAAGAAAATGAGTCAGTCCTAAAAGCACTGTGATTCCTGACAGGGTCTAGTATAAGGCCACAGATGTCTTTACTATATTCTCAAACTTCCTTAAAGTAACTAGAATTACTTTGTAGCCTCTCTATACAACCTGCTTTTTCTTTCATTCTCCATTAGTATGTGTATACTGCTGAGGGCTGAAATGTTCTCACTGGATATAGCAACGTGAAAGTCACTAGTGACATTCCTGAGAGTTGTTTTCACAGTGATGGCAATAAGCCAGCACTGAATGAGTTGAGGAATCTTCAAAGCAGTCAGGCTACATAAGAGAAGAAAAAAATAAGAGGATATCGAGTTTGTTTTTCTTTCTTAAAGATGCTAAGACTTGAAGATATTTAAATGTCGATAAGAACTGTACATCTCTATTGAAAAAGGAGGGAAGGAGCAGATAGATGCAGGATGTAGATGCAGGTAGATTAATAGTCTGTGAGTAAGATGAGGGACTCCCTGCCTAATAACTATAAGACAACATTATGGATCTGTGTGAGAGTTCACTGAGATATTTGTAAATAAAATACACATGTAAATTGATACCATTACAAATATGTGCTGAATACCTAAATGGAGTTGGTACTAATTACAGTGCCACATAGCTAAACAGGATTTATATTTTAAAAGGAAGACTCCAAAGTCAGGAACAAGGGGAAAAATGAAGGAATTATTTGTCAGACACTGCTGTGAATGCTGGAGATAAAAGGGTAAATAAGACACAGACCTCAAGGAATGCAGTACTTGTATTAGGTATTATATGTAACCTAGAGATTATTTAAAGTATACAGGAGGATTTCATAGGTTATATCCAAATACCATACCATTTTATATAAGGGACATGAGCATTTGCAGAGTTTGGTATCTGTGGGGGTTCCTGGAACCAATCTCCCTCAACTGTATAGGGTGAAAGGTATAGTGGTCCATAAAACTTGAGGGTTGATCAGACAAAGCAGCATCTAAGAATGAAAACAAAAATGGATCAGAGGACAAGGTAATAATAAGGAAGGCATGACAGACAAATGTTAAATGCAGCACAGCATTCTAGTAAGATAAGGACTAAAGCACTCTGAGAGTTAAGAGATTATCAATGATTTTAGCCAGAACAGTATTAGAATAATGCAAAGAGAAGCCAGACAGACTACGGGATTGAGCAGTGACTGGGAAATGAGAAAGTGACGGCCTTGCATGTAGAATATTCCTTTAGAAGATTACAGGATAATGGTGAGGATGGGAGTAAACAGAGAGATGCCAAGTAGTGTCAAAGAGACTACTGTTATACCAATTTCAGAAGTGAAGAAACTAAAGGTCAGTGAGACTAGGTAACTCTCTAAGTGTACACAGTAAGTAACTGACAGGAAAACCAAGAATTGAAACCTGGTCCCAGAGGATCCAAAATCTAACCTACTTTGACTATATCACACCATCTCAAGACCAAAAAAAAAAAAAAAAAAAACACATCTCAACAATAAAGTGGATTCATACCCTTGCAAAAATAAATGAGTAAATGGAGATAGAAACATACAGTTATTAAAATGAAAAATAAGAATAACATAGAACATTGGCTAATGAAATCACACTCTTCTAGACCTACCAGAAAAAAAATTAAAACTACCAAGGACTAAAGTCCATGCTAGCATACTCTTGATGAATTCAATACTGTGTAGAGTACCCAGATGGCATTCAATCTGAAGTTGCATTTGAATGAATGAAAGGGGAAACATTGCAAATAGTTTTTAGATACCACTGAAACCAATATAATACATGTTGACTTGAGAAACCCCTGTTCTTTATGTTCTTCAAAGGCATCCTTAACAGTCATCCTCCTACAAGCAAGTAGTTGCTCTATAACAAGTAGTATATGATTTGTTTTCACAAGGATTCTCAAGGAAACAAAATAAAATTTTAAAAGGAAGGATAATTTTCTTCTGGAACTGTTCTCATTTACTCTGTCCTAATTTATTTTGAAAAAGGCTACACTTTCAATAGTTTTATATCAATTCTATATAGAAGAACTGATGCTGAATAATAGTAATACCTTCTATTATTTATGAACTGTATATCATTATCTTGATTTTACAGATAAAAAAATTTAAATTTAGGGACCATGCCTGGGATCCCACAGCTTATAAATGGTAAGGCAAGGTCTAAACCCAAGTCCATCTGACTCTAAATCCATGCTCTTAAAGACTATGCAGAATTAGGAGTGAGGGAGGAATGGAAAGGATGGTTTCCAAACCTCTAGACTGTTTGTTTGTACCATACCAAAAGTCATTATACCAAAAATGTTTTTCTATTTTCCATTTAAAACGTTAAGGTCTTTGTTTAATATGTTTTTATTTAAATTATGCTTTGCATGAAAAGGCATTTAAGTATATTGTTTACACACACACAATTCAGGAGGGCAATACAAATTGAAAGTAGATGAGAAAAATATGGTTAAAGGAAGATATGGTTAGTCATAAAGTGGGAGCCAGAATAATGAAAATATAAAAAATTCATACAAATGAAAAATACTAATAGTTTAAAACATTCATTAGATAACAGCAAGCCAGTTTCTCAGAGAAGTCCATCCAGTTTTTTCTTAAATTGATATATAATAATTGTATATACTTATGAGATACATGTGATATTCTGATACATTCATGTGAAGTATAATGATCAAAACAGGGTAATTGGAATATCCACCACCTCAAACATGCCCATCCATTTTTGACACTAAAGTCAGCAAAAAGGATTTCTTGTGGGAAGAAATCCTTGTGTAATGTAATAAACAACACCTTCAACAAACTCTTTTGATAAACACAACTATAAGTTCCCATTGGACTGTTTCTTACAGTAAGGCTGAAAATAAATTTAAAAAATGTTACGTTGTATTGTAGACCAAATAATAACTGATTATCATGAAGATAGAAACATGTTTATCTTTGCTGGCTTTAAGGATGTTACAATCTATCAACAGGGTTTATAATTCCAGGGAGAAAATAAGTACATAAGTGAAAATAGGCCCCCACAGTAGGAAAGAGCATCAGGGGCAGGGATGTGGGGAGGAGACCAGGAAGAGACTGACAGCTGAGGCCAAGATTTAGCCACGGTGAAGGTTAGGAAATTTCTTGAAGGCGCAGGAAGGAAGGTCCAGGGTGACTGAGGGAAACCCATGCAGTAGCTGCTGATCCTGCTGGCTCTATGGCTGGGCACCATGGGATTAGGCAGGGCTGAGCTCCTAAGGGCCTAGGAGCAGGGCCTGCAGGTGCCCTGGGGAAATTCCATAAGCATCCACTTATGCAGTGAGGCTTCAGGGAGACCAATATGAGCAGTGCTATGGATACACTCTTCCCAGCAGGAACCTTTGTGAGGCTAGAATTTAAGCTCCAGTATACAAGTTTCTGGAAAAAGAATTCTGAGTGCAAAGTCAAGTCCAGTGGAAAGAAGCAGAAATGCCTGGCCTACATCAAACTTGAGGATAAAATTTTAGGCCAGATGGTCCATTGCCCTATACAGTTGCAGGATGGGCAGGAGCCTGAAAAGCATCAGGAGATTCAGTGCAGTAGAGTGGAGCAGACCAGCCATGACCCTCACAGCTACTACTTCCCTGGACAATTTGCCTTCTTTTTAAGGCCCTGCTCCCCAGCACAGAACCCTGGACTGAATTTTATCATGCTCCCCAGACAGCTGCACATGGTAACCAGTGGAATACCCTGCCCTCCTAGTGATGATCCCATTATATCCCGAGCTAATAAAACTACTCTCCAAAAAACAAAGAAAAAAATATATAAAAAAAAAGATTACCATAGAATTCAGCAATTCCACTTCAGGGTATATACCCAAACAAAATGAAAGCAGATATTTGAAGAGATAGTTGTACACCTATGTTCATAAAAGCATTATTCACAATAGGCAAGAGGTGGAAGCAACCCAAGTGTCCACTGATGTATAAGTA